TACCAAACTGCTCCGCTAATGTCAGTAAAACCTTTGAAACATAAGCCTAGATGATAAATTGAAAAAAATAATAAAAATTAGGGGAGTTAAAATTTATGGTAAAATTATTGAATTTATGGACCAAAAGGTAAATTTGATCATTTTCTCTAGTCCATATGTAAAAAGGGAATGTCTATTACAAGACTATTTAATTTTTATATAAGGAGGTCATAATCATGATTGACTATTAGATTTGAAATGTGTCATTGTTTGGTATAAAGTCCAAAATAAAATATTTTGAATATTATGACACCGTTTTATATATTGGATTTCACATCCGATTGTTGAAAATGATTGTGACCTCTTTTTACCAAAAATAAATGGTCTCACAATAAACAATCCTATATAAGAATCCCAATTGTTTACACTCCTGACTATAAAATTTGAATATTTAAAAATGTGACAGACCAATTTGTGGAAGAAAAGGATGATCTAAAGACAATTTTTGGGGCCTGCCTTAATCCTTTTGTTTTTTTGGATACATTACTATAGATTTTTTTATAGCAGAAATTATATTTTCTAATCATATTCGAATTATAAAGTTATAAAAATGGCTGCTGAACAATATCTCGACTTTTACATGAGGACTGCATCAAAGTGCAAAAGCGGGGGCTCATGTATTAGAGAAGAATTATAGGTAGCCAAGAATGATTTTATAGAGTAAAGAATTACAAGTAAAACCACTGTTTAAAAAAAATATCGATCCATATTAGAATAGCCGGATCCAGATTAAAAATCGACAACATCGAATTGATTCCTATAAAATACCGGAACCGGCCAGCTTCCCCCCCCCCCCCCCCACCAAGACATGGCCGGTTTTGCTAGAAAACTAGCCCACTTTTTTTTTTTTCTCTCAAATTTTAATGCCCAGTTTGGCAATCTAGATCAGAAATTCAGAGGGACGATCTGGATAGGTGATTTTAAACCTTGTGTAAGACTGTATGGAGGCATATAAAATATTTTCAAGCAACAGACCACATTTATGCATTTATAGAAGTACATGACATGTCCTCTTGTCCAATAAAAAATTGAAAAGGTTTATATGAGTTGTCAACTTTATATCATGAAAGTGAGGCACAGTTCAAAAATCTGTTGTAAAAGCTTTTTTAGTCGGGATATTCTCCAATTTATCACCTTGATCTCCAGATATATCTATTTCAAAACGAATAGGATTTCAAATTTTGAAAATGGTGTATTTTGCATTATATTACCGGGCCTATCTTTTTTTAAGTGTTTATAATAAATCTACTTGATCTACACTATTTTTTGAATTTTGAATTTCATAATTGTGGAAACAATTCTCGTACCAGAGTTTATGGCACAAGAATTACATCTTCCGAATGGGTTTTGAAGGTGGAATTACTTGGATCGTTTAAAGTGAGCCCCTTATAGAACCGCACCCATAAAAAATATCTTTATACCTATTTTTTAATTGGAGAATATATTAAGCCATAAAAGGGAAGATAATGTAAAACCATAGACTATTGGTTATACAAAAGTTACATGAAATATCATACTATCGAAACATAACAATTTTGAATTCTCTCTCTAATTGAGTAGTAAACTTGGGTGCGAACCAAAAGTTTATGCTCCTGCTAGATTACATTCACTCGAGCAAAACTCTCTCTACAAGTAATTTTAGGTTCCCAAATTTTAGGGATAGGGTGTGGTTTGGATAAAGTTGAGGCTCTAAACAATCAAAATAAGATGCAAATTCAAATAGTGTCAATATATGTTGTTTTAGCTTAGAAACTCTTTATGATGATATGAAAATATATTGTCCTATCTAATTATAAAATTTAAAGTTTCAAAATAGTGCAGATCACGCATATCTATGAACAATTGAAAATCTAAAAAATTGATAGGGTAGATAACGTATTACTAGATACATTGTTTCCAAGATTTGAAGACCTTTTCTTTTATGTCTATATATTCAAGGTCGAGATGATTAGATTTGAGGATTTTTTGGCATTGAGACAAGTTCTTCAAGTGAATTTTTGAGATGCACCTTAGTTTGATTGTTTAAGGCCTCAACTTCTGTATAACCTCGTTAACCTAACCACCAACCTCAAAAAAAAAGCATTGTTTTAAATGAATAAACTTACCCCTACTTTGTACATATCTAATAATAGTAATTTACTAAGGTTGAATTATGACCATCCAATATTTAGAAAAACAAATATAAGTTTTCAATACCTTAAAATTCAGTTTTTATTATGCAAAAATACCTATTTGCTGATACTAAGCAGGTGTTGCCCGAGGGAGGAGGTGTACAGTGTGCTCCCCTGTGAGTATGCTATGCGCACTCTCAAGATTTTCACAATTGTAAGACCCACACTATCGATTCCTCGTTAATGATTATTTTTCTATTTAAAAATGGCTCTATGGTCCTATCCACTTCTGCTTAAATTAATGAAATCATATGTCCCACTTAATTATTTTACAAATCACATGTCCAAAATTGGAGGTTTAGTATAACTAACAGAGATGCTTCATCATTAGATCCAAAATTTCAAAATCAATTATCCCTAACATCATAGATTTGTGGGGCTCAAATCTCAAAAGATCCATATAAAGTGAGTACCAATATTGATGAAGCTTATTTGGTTAATTTCTGGTCCATAGGGCCCACCAAAGTCCGTTTTTTTTTTTTAGAGAGGAGGACACTCAAATTGGGAAAATTGATTAAATGCCCATTACATTTTCTTATAGATATAAGTATGACCCCTTCCTTCCAAAATATCACAAACATGACCTTATTTTCTAAACTTGCCATTTCCACTTCCCAGTTTTTTTTTTTTTTTTTTGCAAAAATAACACCTTTACCCCTAGTTGGGGAAACTCACTAGAGGGGTCACTTTTCTCTCTATTTTTACTCCCTTTTTGCCATCTTAGTAAAATGCTCAGTATCGTGGTTCTGTACTTCTAACCTAATAAGCATACTTCATAGGGAAATTAGTAATTTTCTTACACTTTGTTTTTTCGTTTGCCATGCAAATTTTTACTTTTTTTTTCCATGTTTGTGTAATATACCGTAACATGGTTTTGCACATTTAAGTTCTAAACCTATTAGCCATAGCCCATTGTAAAATTAGGCAAAGTTAAATGGTCTCATTCTATACTTTCCCTATAAAATAACATGGCTTTTGCACTTCTAACCCTACAAGACATGGCCCATTGTAAAATTGGTAAGATTCTTACACTTTTTTACTCTCTTTTTCTTTCCATATTAGTGTAATATACCTTAACATGTTTTTGCACTTCTAACCCTATAAGACATAGCCTATACCCCATTGTAAAATTAGTACATTTTATGCACTTTTTTATTTTATTTTTTTCCATATTAGTATAATACGCAATAACATGGTTTTTGCACTTCTAACCCTACAAGACATGGCCCCATGGTAAAATTGGTAAGATTCTTACATTTTTTTAGTCTCTTTTTCTTTCCATATTAGTGTAATATACAATATCATGGTTTTGCACTTCTAACCCTGTAAGGCATAGCCTAGAGTATAATTGGTAAGATTCTTACACCTTTTTACTCTCTTTTTTTTTTGCCATGTAGTGTTACATGAAATAACATGGTTTTGCACTTCTTAAGTCCTAGCTCTAAAAGATATAAACCCTAGTAAAATTAGTAAATTTCTTACACTTTTAACCTCTTTTCCTATATTAGTCTGACACACAACAACATGGTTTTCTAGGTCCTAACCCTAAAAGACATAGCCTAGTAAAATAAGGAAATTTCTAGTAAATGTTTTAAAGTTCTTCAATTTTAATTGCCATATGCATACAATAACATGGGTTTTGCACCACTAAGTCCTAACCCTAAAAGGCATATAGTAAAATTAGTAAAGAAAACAAAAATCATTGAGATAGAAAGCAAGGTCCATTTCCTTTCCCATAAATGAAGCTAGAGAGCCAAAGGGCTCATGCATTTGACCATGGGTTCTTCCCTTGAATGGCAGAGTGGATTGCTGACACATTACAATTGTATTACAATTGTGTGGTGTTGAAAAAAGCAAAAGAAACAAAAAGATCACCACATTCAAGGGCTGACACCCTGCTTCTCCTGAGAATGGGAGAAGAGGGAATAAGTGAGAGTCACTGCCCAATGACCTCTGTCTCTCTCTAACTTCTCTCCCTCTCTCTCTCTAGAAGTGAGGGGTTTCACTGCCCAATTCTCTCTCTCTCTTGAATGACATGACATGAGAGCAAAAGCACAATCCGAGAAAACACAGTAAAAGAGAACAGGCTGAAACCGAGAGTACTTGTGCTCAGATCTACTGTGACCTCACTTCAGTTCAGCCTGCATCCTCGTGCTCAAACCTTCCAAAAAACAAGAGAGACAGAAGAGAGGGAGGAGAGAGAGAGAGATTGAGAGAGAGGGAGGAGAGAGAGAGAGAGAGATTGAGAGAGAGAAGGGTGAAAAGAAAAGGTGGGATGGGAAAAGTCCTAGCATCCAGGATTCAGTTCGAATGATTTCACTTTCAGTTGCTACTGGATCTTAGAGGGAGAAAGACGAGAAAGACTGTGTGTGTGATGATTCCAAGGATCTTAAAGAGAGAGAGAGTGAGAGTGATGAATCCAAGTACAGCTTTTGTGTGAATGATTTCGCTACTGGTTTTGAACTTCCAACTCAAACACATGCATATAACTGTGATTTCCTTCCCATAATTTTCTCCATTATTTACCTCTTTTATATGGAAATTTAGTAATCTTTCTTCTTCCCTAAAACCCCAATAAACCATTGTTTGAATGGAAATGTAGTTTGCTTTCTTCCTTCTCTTAAAACCCTAAGATAATGAAATACAATCTGAAACAAAAAAAATTTGAACGGAAAGCTCTAAGTCCTCTTCCTCACACAGATGAGTGCTGAAAAACCACATACATCCACATTATAAAGTTGCATCCACAAAACCATATTAGAGAGAGTGCTGAGATGGAAAGAGGGAATGCACATGGAAAGAGAGAAATCACAGACACAGAGATCAATACATGACATTATCATCATACACATTCCTATTCCCTACTAAATACACCCAGACCTCCCTAACCATTAACAACCAAAATTATCATCAACTACCCCATACCATCACCATACCACCAAACCTTTCTCTAACAATTAACAACCAAAATTATCATCAACTAACCCCATACCATCACCATACCACCAAACCTCTCTCTCTCTCTCACCAAATCCACCACCACCACCTCAAACCCCAAAATCACATACATAGTTCTTAAACTTACAATTCCATATAACCCTCTTTCCAACCTCATCCACTTCAAGATCCTTGCAACAAGTGATCAGCCAATTGAGCACTTATCAGGCCACCATGCCCCAGCCCATGGTGCACTGAACCCACCATCGGCATGGGCTCGGCCACTTGCAGTGAACCCACTTGCACCGACGAGCCGACTTGCACTGGGTTCACAATCTTATTGTTAGGCCTCTTCCTCTTTTTCTTCTCATAAGCAATTCCCCTTGCCTTAGCTTGCATTTCTCTCACCTCCCTCAAATAAAGCCTAACTGCCCTTGCACCAAAAGGGTTAGCCTCAGGCTGGCCCCCATTCTCCTCAAAGGCAGCCCGAAGCCTCCCAATTAGGGCATCAAGGCTACCCCAAGCTTGTTTTAGAGGGCAAGGGCAAGGGGCTGGAGGGTGAGGGTGACCAAAGAAAGGGCACCCATTGATATGAACCTTTGTCTTGCCAAATTGGTCCAAGTATCGAAGGAATTCGAGGACATGGGCTCCACTGCATCGAGAGAGGGCGAGAGGGGGACGGTGGTTCTTCAGGTATTGTCCAAAGGTGTTCCAGTCACGACGCTTTTGAGACTCATAGCGCGATGGGGGGCTCGAGTTGTCGGGGACACGACGGGTCGGGACTGGGTCAGTGCTGTTGGCAGCAAGAGCCCCAGCGGCGGCGGCGGCAACTGCAGCCATGGGAACTTCAGGTTTTTTATGGGTTTCTTCGGGAGGGTTTTGGGGGCTAAAAGCCTGGTCTAATGAATTGAATTTGTTGGAAACTTTGGCGATCTAGGGTTTGGGGATCAGAAGGTGTTATTTCCTTGAATTTTGTGGGATCTTGGGATTCCTAGGGTTTTAATGTTTTTGGGGTAATGGTGTTTACACTTGTATAGCAAGGGGTGAGGATTGGGGGGGCTAACGACTTGCGCAGTGGCATGAATTTGGTGGAATTTTAGGGTAATCTAGGTTTGTAGGTTTTGGGGTGCTGTACTAATGGAGATTTCTGGTAACTAGTTTAGGTCTTGTTGTAGGGTTTTGGGTACTGAAACTCAGGCGATGGTGAACAAAGTGGCCTTCGGGGCGTTTTCTATAGTTTCTTCCGGTGTGTTGGAGTTGTAGGCTTATTCACTTGAAGTCCATGATGAACTCTGCCCTGGGTAAAACTGGAGGTGTTCTAGAGAGAGAGAGAGAGACTGGAAGTGTTCTATATATAGAGAGAGAGATAGAGAGAAAGAGAGCAAGGGAGGGAGACAGTCTAAGCTTCAATGGGAGAGAGTGTAAGTGTCTCTCTCTTAGATCATAAGAGAGGATGAGACAGGTTCAAAGAGAGAGAGAGAGACGCGGATCGTTAAGAGAAAAAGAACTTGTAGTGATCTTTGACAGAGAGAGAGAGAGAGAGAGAGAGAGAGAAAGAAAGTCTAAGCTGCTTAGAGAGAAAGCGTCTGGTGTGTGTGTGTTTGAGAGAGAGGGAGGTTCTCTGAGAGAGAGATATTGCTCTCTCTGAGAGAGAGAGCTCCTTTGGATGAGAGGTTGGTGCCCACTGAGAGAGAGAGAGAGAGAGAGTCTCAAATCTAGAGAGACAGAGAAGGTTTAGCAGGTGCCAAGGGGAAAGGAAGGGAGGAATTGCAGGTAATGGGGAAGCTGAGTGATGCAATGGTGAGACACAGAGAGAAACTCTGGATAACAATGGTGGTGAGGTGGGATTGGGCGAGGAAATAACAAAGATATATATGCAGGAAGATATATGTATATATAATGGGAGGCAAGGGGTGGCCCGGCCTGGTGTAAGAGACCTCCCACCGAGTAGAGAGAGAAAGTAGAGAGAGAAAGAGAGGTGATGGCAGTCTGACGATCCTTTCACAAACGTCACTTCAATTTCACCTGCTCCCTCCCCTTCACCACTCACTCCACAGATGAAAAGAGAAATGCCAAACAAGGGAAAAAGAAAAGAAAGGAAAAGGAATGTACCACATAGATTGAGAGAAACACCTTTCATCATCTCTTATTTCAGAGAGAGATATGTGCCTTTAGAGAGAGAAACCTTTCTCTCTTTCATTCCAGCCTCACTTTAAGAGAGAGAGACTGGTCATTCTCTCTCGCTCCTCCAATCATTTTATCGTGAGAGTAGAAAGCCCCTTCTCCTATATACTATATAAGGCCTATCATTCATTGTTGGAGAGAGAGAGAGAGAGAGTCCTTTTTATTGTCATAAAAAGTTACCATGTGAGACTGGATAACCCATTCATGATAGGGGAGAGACTCAATTATTCATGGTTCTTACTACTTATTTGACCTACTCACTGTGAAGTGTTGTTTTCTTGCATGAGGACCATTGTAAGGCCTCACTCTTAAGATAACAGTCTTTGGAGAGCGACAGACTTCACGAATCCGCTTTGGTTTTCAGATGATTTAGGGAGTGAAACATATCTCCTCATCAGCATCATCGTTGTCAAAGCTTTTTTTCAACTAATTTGGATCAGTTGCATGAATCTTGATCTTTTATTTTGCTCAAATTGCTTTATTTCATTTATATAGAGTCGTAAATTTGGACTTCTAAAAAATGGTGCAAATATTTTGATGTTAGAAAATTTAAAATTGATGGTAGAAGATAAAAAAATCAAAACAAATTATTTTCCTCAAAATTTTATTTTTTAATTTTAGATTTGGTGGTCTAGATAGATCTACAAAATTCTCGACCCAAAATCCATCTCCAAAATAGATATTAGAAACAAGGAATCGGTGTAACCAGTCCATCCCCAAACGCACATCCTACTCCGATGTAATTAATTTAGGATAAGTTTATTGTATGTCTATCGCATGAGTTCACCATGATTTTCAATGAACTTAGAGTTCTAAACCCATCTTAAATTTTTCATTTTGGACCCATGACTTTGTAGCTCTAAAACTGGCGAAATTTTGATAATATAGACCATAACAAAAGGAATGATTTTGAAGTTTTAAGAGAAATATATATATATTATTAGAGAAACCCATCCATTCACAAATGATTATATGATTTGCGGTTTGAATAATCGAAGTCGAGCTTTATTTTGTTTTTTTGTGCAAAAGTACCATCATTTTGGATATTTAAGATCCAAAGTCATATATGGTTTTAGATTTTAAAGATCCAATGTCAAGATTGATTTTCTCTGGTTTATTTTGTAGAAGTACCACCACTTATAATATTCAATATTCACTAGTGAAAATTTTGAAGTAGGCTCAAATTTGATTGTTTAGAGCTTCGGCTCAATATAAACTTTTCCTTTAATTAAGTGAGTACATTAACTAAAACGTGATAAATAAATTCCATGGTGGAAAATATTGAAGGCTCTAAACCTAAATTTTGGACAAAAACCTAACTAAAATAAGGTTGTTTTGATGTCGGAAAACCCTCTAATTGATTATCTTGAAGTCGAGATGCATGAACATGAAAAAAAAAAAAAATCAAGTCCCAAAAATGATTTATCTTGCAACGAATTATTTGGACCGTCTATTTTCAAGTTTTTCATGTGTTTATAAATCTACTTGATTTGTACTATTTTTATTGTTTAAAATTTTATAATTACATATGAAAATAGATTCTCAAGCCATCTAAAGAATGCTTTACACCAATTTTTTTTTTTTTTTGTAAAAAAACAAAGTTTAAAGGGTGTGGTTTCTATAAGATTGCAACCTTAAACAATCCAATAAAGGCGTACCTTCAAATTTTATCATAACATGTAAATTTGGTGAAAAAATTCTTAGGATTATCTCAAAATCTATTTTCATATCAAATTATAAAATTTTAACCTCCAAAAATAGTCAAAATCAAGCAGATCTATAAACATATGAAAATCTTGAAAATAGACGGTCTAAATAATATATTGCAAGCTGCACTATTTTTGGGACTCAAAATCTTTTTTTTTTTTCATATTTATATATCTCGATATTGCAATGATCAATTGGAGGTTTTCTCAGCATTAAAACATCCTTTTCCGATGGATTTTTGAGGTGCACCTGTAAATCTATATTTTAAGGTTGCAACCTTTTACAAACTTTTTCCAAATTTAAAATTTAAAAACCATAGTTTTTATTTTGTACACTATTCATTCATTTTTTTGTAGATGCAATTTTATTTTATTTTTTGGCAATCCAACTTAAAGTAGGACATTTTATGTGTCTGGAGACCAGTCCAATAACTAAGTTTCCTGATGCATCGATTATTTTTCATCAGTTGAATTAGAAAACCAATACTAGAAACAAAAAATAATACCACACCCCTAATTAGGTCAAAATATTGCATAAAATTATAATTATGGCCATTATATGCATCTTCAAAGAGCAATCCTAAATGGAAATCTACCATTGGCATAATATAATTTAATAAAAACTTCCTTCTTTCCTAGGGGCCCCAACAATGGTTAATCTCAAATGAGAATTTGGATATAATATGCAACAGATTGTGGGAGACTTTTGCAAGGTCTATCTCATTGTATAAACAATGTGAAAAGGGTTACCTTTCATTTATTTATTTATTTCAACTTTACTCCATCATAATTGGATGAGAATACTGAAACTCATTGTGATTATTATGATAGTGACAATAAATATAAAAAAACTTGGTAAATAAAAACCAATATATTGTTTATATTTTGGAGCATAATGATCTTGGTTGACTAAACCCTGGTTTTCCAAACCTAATGATCTTGTGCTTAGTCCGAATGCATGATCTAGGACAACCATTTTTTTTTTAATAGAATATCAATTACAAAAGGAAAAAAAGCATGGAGAAGGAAAAACAAAAAAGTCACATTTAGTTGATTTTCTCATGTCCCCAATCTAGTCCAGGTCTACTGCACAAGCCATCCAAGCTTTCCATTTTCTCAAAGTTCTTTTTTTTTTCTTTTTTTTTGTAATATCCTTAAATTTTGACAAAAGATTTTTGGTCCCTCAGTCATAAGCTCCTTCCTATGTTGGAGTATTTTTAGGACTCCTATTTTGGGGATGTAATGACCCAACCTTGGGACCAACTTCAAAAAAGATTGTATTTTGTGTGTGCCTGAAAAGATAGCATGCAAAGATTGAACCAACCATCCAATTTTTAGATAGTTAGGTCCAAACACTTAGAAACTTGAAATCCAAGTAATTCTAAGGTTGATCCAAAATTTTAGATCCAGATATACCCATACGCAGGTTTTTTGCCCAGGAAAACGTTTATATAAGGGTGAGGCCCTAAACAATCAAATTGATGCGCACCTTAAATATTCAGTTAAAGGGATTGTTTAATGTTGGAAAACCGTTAATTCGATCATCTCGACCTCAAGATATATGAACATGAGAAAAAATGGATTTTAAATCTTGGAAACAATGCATCTTATAATGTACAATCTAGACCATCGATTTTCAAGATTCCCAAGTGTTCACAGATGTGCTCAATCCACTATATTTTTTAATCTTTAAATTTTATAATTAGATATGAAAATAAAATTTTAGGCCATCATAAAGATTTCTGATGCTAAAACAAAAGATTTTGACACTATTTGAAGATGCGCCTGACTTTGATTGTTTAGGGCCTCGGCCTTGTATAAACGACACCCTTTTGGCCCAAGGGAGTAAATTCACAATGTGTTTCTGCGAGAGTATGCTGTACGGGTTCCTTTTCTTTTCTAATTTTTGGGCAATTTTATTTGGAGATTTTCCTCTTACTTAGATCCATGCCCTCTTTTCCTGGTCAAGCCCTTGCAACAGATCATTGCTAAAGGGCTATGGTTCAAATCTCACAACTTTTCAAATTTTTAGTAAATCTACAATCTTTTTCGCAAAATAACATTCAATTATTTTGCTCATATTTTGAAACAACTGTGTTAATTCTTTGCACATTTGCATTGCATTTTAAAATTTAAATTTGGGAAATTTATCAAATATATACTAACTTGTCAGCTAAGTAATATTTTACTTGTTTTCGGTTATTCCAATTCATGATCACGTATATTTTGAAAAATTAAATCAAAATGTATGGTTCGAATATTGAATAGTTCATCGTTTAGGGCTACCTTCATAAATTTCCCATTAAATTTAGAGATTCTATACTAGGAGACTATTAATTTGTGGTACAAAAAGATTACAGCTTTTCTTAACCACTGGATATGAAATCTGACATAGTAAAATGTATCACAGCTTTCGAGAAAATTTGTTTTGGACTTTGTCCTCAATTAGTAATACATTACCACCCGTCCAATTTTATCCAACGGTTGATAATGATTATGATTTTCTTATATAAAAAATAAATGGTCTCATCATGTATATTTCCTTAAATTTAACATATTTTCTATTAATGGTTCAGCTAAGAGAATCACAAGATTTACTTGTCCAAATCCCTAATCCCAGTAGAAGGTCACTCGAAGGAGCACGGAGGTGACTGAATTTGATATCTTCTCACAGCAATATATGAACTTTAACAATCTAAGAAGCATTTAGAGACATACAGAACATAACAATGAATTTAAATACCTGAGGCTTGACAAAACTACTGTTGTATAAGTAAAATATCCAGTTTCAATTTCTTATATCCAAAACCATATTGAGAGACTATAACTATGGGGTAGTTACAAAGATTTATTCTTAAAGGAAGGCAAATAGGGAAAAGCATGAGGCACTTCAGTTTTAATTTTACAAAGAAATAGTATGAAAAATGATGTTAAAAAAATTGTCCAAAAAACATTCATTGATTGTATACATGACCCGAAAAATAATTACATGACAATTAAATTATTTACAACTGGGTGTAATTTATATAAGAGGCCTTACTTGTAGAAATCATGTTACGATGATTTATAAGGTGGCAGCCTTAT